GTATTTCAATGAAACATTTTCACCATCAGAATCGATTTCATTAAATAGATTTAATACTTTTAAAGTGTAATTTTTATCGAGAACTTCTCAAGTATTTCGTCAACAGATAAAGATTCAAGATTCTTAAAACATTTTAGTCAAAGCTCATTTGATTATATGAGCTGGACTAAAGGAACGCACAAATCCATCGAGTTCTTTATAATTATAGAACTATTAACCGATTGGGCAAAAAAGTGTAATATAAAGGAGTGGGATCAATAGGAAAGTTTATATTACTGTATTAAATAGTATTTAAATGGTAAAAGGTAGATTTTTATATGTCTTAGAATTCTTTTGTATCTACATTCTTCTAGTGGTTTACTCCAAAACATTGTATTGTAGTTCTATACCATCGAAGATTAGAATAAGCTTTTATTATTGGCATAATGATTTTGAATATTTAGAAATGCAGTAATTTTTTTTTTTTTTTAACTAGCACAGCACATATGGGTGGTGTAATCATTGTAAAGGAGAGCTTGGTATTGTCATGCTGAGCTTAACTCTGATGGTTGATGTTAGAAGAGTCACATGAATGGGGCAATAAATAAATTATAGTATTCGGATATTCATGATTTATTAGACATTTATTATAAAAAAGAGAGTGTGAATACTGTATATATGTGATCTTTATTTATAGAGAAATTTTGAGAATTTTGGAAGAGTGAATGTTCTTCAACTAAGGATGAAGGCACACTCTTATATACATTCTGATTTTACAAATTGTCATCATGGTTTATGCTGTAGATTCCACATTTGACAAAGGTGCAATGATTACAAGTTTATGCAATTGTGTATATCTTTAATTGGAACGTAAACGCTTTTGCATGAATTAAGCCATCAAGAATACATAATAATGCCTAATAAGATTAACATGCTATGATAGTACAGGTAAGTGACAACTTAAAAAATTAGACAAATACGGAAGTGATGAGACAGAGAAAATTTAATGATACAGTGGCTTCACTGACAAGTTTGAATATTTAAATATTTAAATTTTTTATTCTTTATTATATAAAGAAGATATTATATAATTGTAAAATAT